CCCACTGTTCGCCTCCGTGCCGCCCGTTGCGCAACCGCCAACTTCCGGGAACCCACCCATAAACGTTCAGATCGAGACTCTTGGCTATGGAAAGTTCCGTGGTATGCCTGCGCGACGGAGCTTCGATGCAGGCCCAGGCTCAGATATGACTCAGCCACGAGACGGTGGTGTTGTGCTACAGAGACAAGTTGCAATGGCCTATGGGAAAAGCTGGGCATCGAATTGGCGGGAGAAACTGCAAGACGGTGCTGGAAAGGGACATGGACGACAGGGTAGTGTTGGATCGATCGAATCAACTGAGGCCTCATCGCCTGTTGAACCTGCGATTTCAATGCATCCAGGTCCAGGACTGAGACCTCGGGGATACATCTTTACCAGTCCCTGGAACGGAAGATGTGAGTTCCGTACAGGAGCTGCTGGTCGAAGCTTGCGCTGCTATCACATTCTACATGATGATAGACCGAGCAATCCTCTGGCTGAGTTCAGTCAGGGGCAAGTCCAGGGTGGTGGTGGTGGCATGCCCATGAGTGAACTTCGGTTTAATCTTCCTACAGCGGAACTCTTCAAGTCTGCTGAAGGTCGTGAGGAGGTGAAGACTCAACTTCAGGGACATTTCAACAAGTTACTCCGCCGCGACGAACGAGGCGACAGTTGCGACGATGACGGCATGGTTTCGCCGTTCGACATCAATCTTGGAAAGGAGAAAGCCGGCGGTGGCAACCGAGGAAAGAGAGCCAAGCTAGGCAAACTCATCATCTATCCTGATGGACTTAAGATGCTTGATCTACTGGTATCTGCCAACATGGGGCTTTGGTGGCAAGCTTGGGAGAAGAGTTTTTAGGGAACTCGTGACCATCTAAACCATTTTTTGAGATACCTACATGATTTCTGGAGTTTGTGTTTTCGTTTTTGTAAAGCTGGTGGTTTGGATATTGGCTATTTACGTAGAGGGAGTTGCCGCGAGGATTGAGACGACGTAACGATTATACGGAGACGGCTGAAATACCAAAATATAGCAATTGGATGACTTATAGATAAACTGGACTTAATTGCATTGATTTTCCTTGTTAATATGCGATCATCATTGGCTCATGATGTTGGATGATGATGAGGTTCAATTGACATTGATCACGTGCAGAGTCACGAGTACTGTTCCAGCCAATCAACAGCCTAGAGTTGTAATCCCGCTGAGCAACTTTCGTAGCCGAACACATCCATCACGTCAAATCCTCGCCTCCCGCCCAGCCCGTCCGCTTCAATTGACCCCGGGACGTCAAGTCAATTGACACTCCTTCGAATCTCCCCTCCTCCTCGAATATCCTCCTCGACACAATGGCCCACGCACTCATCGCGCGACGCCAGCTCGCCTCTGCTGCCACCAGCAGAGCTAGCATCCTCGGCCTGGTCCAACAGCGAAGCTACGCGACACCTCATGGACCTCCTCCCGCCAATTTCCGAACGAGCAAGCCTGTGCAGTGGACCTGGGATAGGGACAGCACCCTCGATCGCATGGGAAAGTTTTTCCTCATGACGGAGATGGCGAGGGGAATGTATGTTCTGCTTGAGCAGTTCTTCCGACCACCGTATGTTATAAAGAACCTGGTATTGAAGGAGTTGAATTGGACTGACGAGGGATTAGTTATACAATTTACTACCCCTTCGAGAAGGTATACGACGTCGAACGAAGCTCCATACGCAAATCACTGACCCTGTTAGGGCCCTATTTCTCCTCGATTCCGTGGCGAGCACGCCCTTCGACGATACCCCTCCGGTGAAGAACGATGCATTGCCTGCAAGCTTTGCGAGGCTGTACGACACCACATATCTCGAGTGGCAGCTAAGTTGCTGACATGAAACAACAGATTTGCCCCGCCCAGGCCATTACCATCGAGGCTGAGGAGCGAGCTGACGGATCCCGCCGAACAACCAAGTACGATATTGATATGACCAAGTGCATTTACTGCGGTTTCTGCCAGGAGTCTTGCCCTGTCGACGCTATCGTTGAGTCGCCCAACGCCGAGTACGCTACCGAAACCCGAGAGGAGCTTCTTTACAACAAGGGTGCGTACCAACACCTCTATAATCCGTTCAGGCCGATTTGCCGAGATCATTACTGACAGTTCAACAGAGAAGCTTCTCTCCAACGGAGACAAGTGGGAGCCTGAGCTTGCAGCTGCTATCCGTGCCGACTCACCATACCGATAAACGATACGAAAAGGAAAGGGAGAAGAGGAAAGCATGGTTTTTATGTTGGTTTGTTTGATGCCTCGAGTCGTTTGAAACGTCGCTATTGTAGGAACGGGATCTTTCTTTTTTTTTTTTGGGTGGAAAGGCGGCATAGTATACGCTGAGGCTTCAGGCGGAAGGGATGGGTGGATGTACATAATCTAGATGTCCAAAAATGCCCCTTCGTCACTTAATTGGTTGGATGGTGAAGCTGATGATGGGAGAAGCGATGATCAAAAAGAAGGTGGGTTGGGTGGTGAGGTCTGTTTATTGGTGTTGTGGTCACTACCGGGGTTTTCAGCACGTCAACATCATAATCATGATTCATTCCACTAATTATATACTACGAAAGACTCGATGTAGTCCAGGCTTATTTGGGAGCTGGGTATGCGCACTTCTTAACCTCAGGCTTGGTCTCAGCAGCCGCGAGAGCAACCTCAGTCAAACCAGAAGCGACCTGCTTCATCCACATATGGTACTGCTTCTCACTGGGATAGAAAGGGCAAGCCGCCGAACCACTCTCCTCACCAAACTCGATAGTGTAGCTCTGCAGCTTGCTCTTACCACAAGCCTTGCCGTAGAATCGGCCAAGGGCGTAATCGGTGCTAGCTCCGGAAGTGGGATACAGACCAACAGCCTCTTGCACGACGTACTTGGTGGTACCAGCGCTCTCCATGGACTTCTTCATGCTGTTGCCAACCTTCTTCTGGACGTTGATGTCCTTGGAGGTGATGTACTCCTTGTACTTAGTCTTGGGGGTCTCAGCATCGCCGAGAACACCACGACGTCCGTCGAACTTCTTGTTCGCGAAACTCTCCTTGGGGTCCTTAGTCTGCGCATCATCATCACCCCATGCGTAGAGAATATCACCACCGAAAGAGTGCAGGTCGACGAACCAGCTCAGACTCTTGTATTTGTCCATGACCCAGACGACGTTCTTGGTCTCAGGCTCCGACTCGGGGCCAGTACCGTGGAAGACCTCACTGGTAGGATCCTCAGAGGCAACGGAGCTCAGATCAATGCCTGAGTTGAATGCCTTCTTGTAGTTGAACAAGAAGTCGTAGTTGCGGTTGATGTCGATACCAATGGCATCAGGGTTACCCTTTGAGCTCTTGGGGTTGCGGTTCTTGCGCCAGCATGAGTTGGTGGATTGATCGTGCTTGACACCATCGGGGTTGATGATAGGAAGGACGACAATACCGCCATCAACAGCCTTGCGGACCTGGGCGGCAGTGAAAGTAGTCTTGCCATACTTCAGACCCTTACCCGCCTTGCGAGCGTGAAGGAGGTCAGATAGCCAGTAGACTACATGGTCGGGGCCACCGCGCTCACGCGCATGGGCACCGCTAATGATGAAGAACTTGGGGTTCTTGCCAATCTTTGCACCAAGGGTCTTCACACCCTCGTAGGTCTTATAGGGGGGGCGGATGAGCTCAACCTCTTTGAAGTTCTTAGCAAGACCCTCAAGAGCTGAAGAGACCTCAGCGGGAGTGAGAATGGACTTGAGGTTGCGGTCTGAAGTAGAAAGGCCCTTGGGGACGATGGTGCCCTTCTTGAAGCGATCGCCCGTTCCAATGGGGAAATCGGGTTCCGGGCGGGTAGCCTGTCTAGCAGCGAGGACTGCAGCGCGCTCCGAGTGGGGGACTGAGTCGGAGGGGATAAGACAGGCGGAAGCCGAAAGAGCGTAGGCCAAAAGTTGAAGCTTCATGATTGGAACCCGTTGTAAAGAAATGACTACCAATAAAGGATGAGGAGTAATGAAGTCCCAATAACGGGAGAAGAGGGTTATATTTAAGCTTAAGCTTAAGACAATCGATCAACCAGACATTGAATCTCCTGTACGACGTTGGAATTCTTGGCCCTGGGAATCAACTGGATTCCAGTAGCTCTCCTTCCTATCTCAGCCAGCTTCCCGTAAACAAAGTCCCCTGGGGGCACGGGCAGACTGTTTGTGGTAGGTGAAGCGACAGATAACATGCAGCAAGGGGCCATGATTGGATGTGACAAGGAACGTTTGTAGACGATCTTTTGGTGATTGTAATCTGACCTGGGGAACATAGACAAGGGACATTCATGCTGAGTTGGTAGTTGGTGCTTATTGGGGGAATTAGAAGCTTGGCCCTGGAATGGAGAGATGGAGGAGGTTCAGGGTAGGGGATGTAGGATGGCTGGTGCAGCGGTATGGTACGGGCTTATCTACAGGATATGGGGAAGTTACGAAGACTAAAAGCTATCTTTAATCTATCAAGTATTAAATTAATATTTCAATTTGTCAATTGACACATGAGGATGGGTAAACTTGCCAGTACACTTGTCTAACATCAGTGTTCTTGTTAGTTGTTTCCCCAGGTTGAAAGAGACCAATGGGGACAAGTTCGATTATGCTGACTAGACTATAACCAGCGTCTCAATCAATAAACACCATAAACCTTGCCGAGTGCATCTCACAAATTGACTCTCACCTCAATTTCACTTCCTCATGAAATATCATTAAGCTCAAATATTCAATGCCTTTCCTCTTCCTCGGCCTCATCACCCAATCATGTCTCCTCGCTCGCTGACGTATACCGGAGCGACTCCCCGGCATAATCACGTGACTCGTCCCAAACCGAGCTTAGCTTCAGCTTTCTCCATCGGAACAGACCAGTCAACCCGGGTAGCAACGAGAAATTTATCATCACCTTCAACCTCATCATCCAAACTCCACCACCACCCACCGACGTCAATTGACCCTTTCCTCCTCGATACACGGGAAAAGAGAAAATACAGCCAAAATGTTCCGATCAGCAGTCCTCCGATCCGTCCGCGTCGCCGCCCGTCCCGCCATGCGCTCATTCGCCGTTGCGCCCCGCGTCGCTACCGCTGCCGTCCCTAAGATCCAGAGCTTCCAGGCCGTGCGGTTCTACAGCGCTGGCGGTGCGCTCAACAAGGAGGAGGTCGAGGGCCGAATTATGAGCTTGTTGAAGGGCTTTGACAAGGTGAGAAATCATCTCCGAGATGGCAATGGATTCACCGAGGAATCCTTCTCCAAATTGCCGATCCGATAAATCAGTAGCTAACGATAGCCTTAGGTCAACGATGTCTCCAAAGTACGTCTCGATAACTAAAAGATTCGAATATTTATCTGACTATCCGCAGATCGGTACCAGCGCTCACTTTGCTAACGACCTCGGTCTTGACTCTCTCGATACCGTTGAGGTCGTCATGGCCATTGAGGAGGAATTCAGCATTGAGATCCCCGACAAGGACGCCGACTCCATCCACTCCGGTATGTCTAGCCTGACTCCCTCTTGAGCTCCAAAACGCCGTACTGACAACCTCCCAGTTCAACAGGCTGTCGAGTACATCCTGAACCAGCCCGACGCCAACTAAACGTATATCTCCCAAACCGCCACCCCTCTTTCTTCCTCCTCATTGTAAAATTACCACTCTCATGACCACCAAAATCCTTCCTCGGCAAGGATTTAAAAGACGCCGATCAAAAAGCGAGCGGGGACTGTGAAGGGGGCGGTGGTGAACGGAAAGATATAAAAACGCAATATAACGCATCAAGTTATTCTTTAATCTCGGCGCACCATGAGACGGCTCATTGTTTTCCAGACGGTCGTGGAGGTAGGAGCCACAGGAGGAGAGATGAGGAGATGGTTTGAATGAAAGACTTGGCGACGAGTGTACGGCTTGAAGTGTATGCTTGAGGTCCTCCTTCACTGCTCGAAGGAATGCCATGGTTGGCTGTTCCCTGGTTTTCATACTGTGAAGCAATGAACACGGCGAATGGGATGCATTGTGTTCGCTGAGTTGATGAAGGGTAGATGGTGGAATCTCTACTGTGGCTTTGTATAGTGTATAGAAACACCCAATTTCTCTACCTACATTCCGTGACTGCTCCCTGTAGAGCTCACATAGCCGCTATCCCCGACCTCACGTCTCCACCAGGGAGCATGACTAGTACGCAGGCCTCATTATCACGTAAAGACCAAAGATCTGCCGAGAATCAACATTACATCACCGCAAATGGCTAGGTACTAAGCAAATCCAGTGCCAACAGGCCCGGTGAACACGTAATGTTCATTATGCATCCTCCCATACATGCAGCTATTTTCATACATGATTTGCCTCGATATATCTAACGAGGTCTTGACCCCCATTTGCAATTGTTTTTGTAGATCCGAACCTCCCCAAAACACCATGCCCAAGAGGAGGATACTAAGCAGAAAGAACCAATTGTGCATAGAGCAATAAGTCAGCTTTGCTTGTTACCCTCATCAAGCCTGAAAACTGAGTGGGCAGAAATCAGATTCCATCCGCCTTCCAAAGCAGTTCATGATATGATAGCGATTATCAAGCAATATATGAAAACAGAAAATGTCAAAACTCCTGGCCGTGTATCCTATATCCTTTTTGATCTTGGCCATAATAAATCGCCATGCATCCTCATATTTTTCTTTCGTCCGTTCCACTCAAGCGTAAAGCTTGTTGGCGAAATGCAGTATGTCGTAGCGACTGTAGTGTTGTCCGCTCAAGATCATGGCTCATCAACTCGTCACCTCCTTTTTTGTTTAAGCTACCAACTCCGACGCTTGGCTGATAAAACTGAAACCAGTTGCTCAAAGACGCTATCCTCCGCCTTCAGCCTGATCGTTTATCGGCCGCTGACAGGAACCCCCTTGGTTCCATTGGTGGAAGGCTTGCCGGCGACAGCACCAGCATAGCTGCTCCAGACATTGGCCAAGCCAGCTGATGTCCTCTTAGGTGACTTGATAGAAGGCTCACCGTCTTCCTCCATGCCTTCCATATGGAACATTTCATCATCCTCGTTGATCGGGGTAGTGAACCGGCCATTCATAGAAGAGCTGATGCTACCGCTTGACACATGACGTTCCATGCCACCACGCTCACGCTCCCTGCCAATAGGACTAATCGGGCTAATGGCACTAGCAGTAGTGCCAGCTCGAGCGGTCGCGGGGTGGAGAAGAGGACTAGAATTGCCTGCAGTATCATCAAGACGGCTTCGCTGAAGTTGCTGGGAAAGCATGGACATGCCGTCACTACCTGATCGCAAAGAAGATGGACGGACGAATCCGTTTGTGCCTCCCATCTCTTGGGAAAGAACAGAGTTCCGGAGTGGGCTTCCAACGTGACCAAAAGCAGAGGCACCTCGGAGAGATCGAGAGGTTTCCTCCTCTTCCTTCTGTCGCTGGAACATAGGTCCCCATCGGCTAGGGCTGGTACCGATGGGACTGCCGTACTTGCTCAGGCCCTCGACATCGCTGTCGGCTCGCATAGAGCCACGGCGAGCCTTTTCGACCGGAGTCAAGAGGTCTTGAAGGTTTTCGGGTACATAGTTCTCGGGGAGATTGTCGTCATCGTCGCCAAAGGCAAAACCAGGCTCCCAGTCTCGATCAACAGACGTCTTAGGCATGCTGGAACTGAGCATCCGGGGCTTGGTGAAGCGGGACGAGTGCATAGCTCGCCTGCCAAAATACTCCTCCCCGTTGGCTTGATGAGAGTTAGGAGGGCTTCTATCCAGAGGGGCCAAGAGGTGTTCCGACGAACCAAATGCTGAAGTGTGTAAAAGCTTGAGTGTCTCCGATGTACGCGAGTCCTTAGCATTGCTGAGCGAAGGAGTTGGCGATTCGATCCCAAATTGGTTGGGAACGGACGATGGCCATGGACCAGCGGGGAAGCGAGCAGCGTTGGAGATGCCATTGGAATCGAAAGATGCGGGGAGAGGAGCATCTAGGACAGAGAGACCCTTGTTGTTAATAGGAGAAAGTCCCATGCCAAAGCGCAAGGACTCTTCGTCTCGGGGAGAACCGTAGTTGGATCCAGTATAGGACATGTCGATGGTTGGGAGGCCATTCTCGAGGCTAGGCTGTCGACCGAGAGTGTGTTGATCTTGTTCATCGTAAGGATATGCCGAAGCGTATGCTGGAACGTCAGCGCGGTAGAGGGAGGTGGTAAGGGCACTGGTGGAGGATTGATTGTTGCTCGCGGAGGTGGGGTTAGATCGACCCGCGAGGGTGGAAGTATTGCCTATCGTGACGCCATTCTTTCCGTAGTTGATGCGTCTGCCGTCGGGGAGAATATGGATATTTGCGCATTTCGGACCAAACTTGCAGTTTCCCTGTAATTGAAGAACAGTCGTCAGTGCTGTTGTGGATTGGGGACGTTGCGACGTGGTGAGGGGTGGATGCGGCTGGCAGCGGGCGATGGATCATGATATGGCGCACTCACCTTTGCAAAGTATTTGCAGACGTTCTCAGCAGCGTTGCTCAGATCGTGACTGAAAGGACAGGCATTACCAGCCTGACAAGCACCTTGACGGAAGAACTTGCAAGGAACGTGGGACGTATCTATGATTCAGTCGTGTCAGTAGGGACGACATTTGGTATTCAAGGTTTGGCGGGGGTCGTGTGCAACATGCAACAACCACGCAGCAAAGCAAAGCAAAGCAACAATGGGTGAACATAACGTACTCGGGGGACTTCGGGGTCCATCGAAGCGGGGAGTATTCGCCATAGTGCTCGCCTGAGAGTGTGAACCGCCGTTGGCAACGCTGAGGCTACCGCTCCTGGCGTGGCGGTATTCAGGCATGATACTTTTGTGTTGGAGGGTTGAAGCAATTCGCGACGGAGGGCGAAATCGGGGGGCGGGCCGAAGTCCAAGGTTCGAAGGAAGGGAAGGTGGAGGAAGGATAAAAAGAAAGTGGAGGGAGTTTAGAAGAATCCGAGTTGGACGTCGGGAAGTCAAAGAGGAGAGTGCTATAATGGTAGCGAGTTGAGTGAAGCCCCCAGCGGCGGAGCGGGCGGCAAAGGATGGACCGTAGTGGGTGAAAGTGGGCGAGAGTGGCCGAGTGGGCGTTACTTTAGGCGTCGCAGTGTAAAGTTAGGCGTAGCAAGGTACCTAGCTGAGGTAAGGTAAACTTCGTGGGTAAAAGAACCTGGAAGACCTGACGCGATTGATGCAAATGCGAGTGATGGGGAAATGGTGGGGGCGTTATGATGTTCCTGTCCTGTCTTGTCTCTTCTGTTCTGTCTGTGCCTCTGCGAGTCTGGAAATGGCCTGGCCCGGGCTGTTCTTTGCGAGCAGCGAGCGACGGATATGGAGGGGTGAACAAACAAAAGTGACTTTGATATCCCGCAGTGATGATATGCTTAAGCTTGTACCTCGCACGGGGTATGTCGCCGTGCCCGGACTCTGATGGTGCAACCGGCTGCGACGGCGGATATGTTTCCACTACCGGTAAGATGATTGCGAGTAAGTCGTAATTAGAGTGGCGCAAGATAATAAAAAAGAGTTGATAACGAATTGAGCAAGTTCAGGTTTCTTTCTGAGCTGAGGAGAAATAAATGGCGGCGAAAAAGAAGCACCTGACAAACGAGGATCTGATCCTGGTTTAGATGTGTTATGCCCTGTAGACCAGAAATGCTACCCCGTACTTCCTATTCTGTAGTACCACTCACTCGAGTCGAGTACTGTACTCGGCAGGCAATGCAGTGCAGATGTTCGCATCGAATAGCGATCCGCTTGTATGAGGCCACTTTTGTTTATTGGGTCAGCCAAGGAATTACCTCCCACTCTGCAGTTCTATATCCGGAAATGTTCCAGATGGCTTATATGAGAAAATAGTGATCCAGCTGCGGATATCTCGGGATACTTGTTTTGGTGTAAGACGAGTAAGGCCTATAACTTTGCTAGGTATGCTACGTCGCTTTGAGTCTTGTGAGGTCGTGATATCTCAGGTGACCGCTCATGTAGAAGGATCAAAGAATGTAAAAAGTCGGGGAGAGAAGTAAATGGAAGAGCCATCATACAATACAGCAGACAACACGTCTCAAGTGGGAAAGGGCTGCCTCTTAATATACCAGCCTCCTCTGCTTACATAGCCTACACCACCAGACAGCCATCCATATCCTACAGACCTACACTTCGAGGTCCTAGACTTAGGCAGAAGATTCAACCCGAAAAAAGTCAACGTGACTGACTATCGGGCCCGAAACAAACCTCACCGTGTGTGCCTGTTGGCCCACCTGCGTAGACACATCTCTACTCTGGGTGCAGACACGGCTGAGGGTGGGATAGCAATAGGTTGTGGAATTCTTCAACTCTAGGCAATCTGAAACATCCCATCACAGCATCCACTTCACAAGTTCACTGTATCCTCACCGGTAAACTGGCGCGGAACGTTGCGAACCGGGAGTCAGCCTAGCCTCAATGCGCCGTGTTCTTCAAGCCTCAACCCATGAACCTGGGAAAAAGTATCTTTATGAGCTGCGTATGCTCGAAGCTAGAAGAATAGACTTTTAGGTTATTTGATGTCTCCCTTGATGGGTTGGCCTCTCATTTGCTACATGTCCCTCCCAAATGGG